TATATATGATGTATGGTTATTTATTAAGTTTAATGGAAAGTGCAAATGATGTTTTACCCAATTTATTTTGAAGCAAGAATTCCATTTAATTTCTTAATTTCAATATTTGCACTATCATGTTTATTTCCAAAATTCATGAATGTTTAACTACAAGCATTGAAAAAAATTTTCAACCTCTTTTCATTGACTTTGTTTTCTTATTCAATTTTTTATAATCTTCTCGATGCTCAATATGATTGCTATTCGCAATGAGTACCTAAAGATTTTGGGTTTCTATTTATTTGATAATTTACCTTTAGATTAAATTAAGTCTTAATTGAAATAAAATCTGTTTTTATTTATTAATTTTAAGTTCAATTTTCTCATAGTGTAAAGTCTATCCCAATTTGATGCTATAATTATTTTTTTCATCCTTTGGATTTTGGATTGGACTGGATTTCATTTCAGAAAAATATACTTTTATCTCTCTTGTATTTATTGATAAAGAGAGTTTATCAAATTATTAGTCAATTGATTATAAAGTAATATTTCTTTTGATCATTAAATTCATTCTTTGGAAATTCAATTTATTTAATTCAGCTTCAGCCAGTCAGTAAGAAGTTTATCTCTTTGATTATAAGCTTATTTGGTGGCCGCCTAAAGTAAGTGGAAAAAATGTATCGTGGTTGTCTTAAATTATACCTTCATCAATTTCAAAGATCACTTTTTTAAATGCTTTGAAATTTTGGGTTAGCATCAACAGAAATTAGTCATTAATTTTACACCTTCTGTAATTTAATATTTATCCATAAAAAATGCTTTTTGAATGTAAACTTAAAATTAAAGAGTAAATTCAAAATAATTTGTAATATTCTTTTTTGTAGTCACCTAATTGATTATTAATGATGAGGATTTGTCCAAAATTATTCTTGCATAACTAATTTATCTTAAACTCAAAATATTCATATACAACATATAAAAATCAATCAATTATAAAGTGATTTCAAAAGTGAAATGTGATACATTAAATTTCTACATCATTCTTAAGGAACCCCTATTATTAGTAACAAAATTAGAATTTTTAAGAGGTCGTCTAATATATTTTATCCGTTTGGATAAAACTTTAAATGATTTCATCATTTTTCTGAATATTTTTTATTTGGCATTAAATCAAAAATATGTAGGATCATCTCTATTCGTGGTGATTGTTAATCAAAATGTTCAAATTAATTTGGATATTATCTATCTTATTTTTGATGAAATTAAATAATAAAAGTATTATTTTATACCCTTAAAATTCAATATTAATTCTTCATTTTACGTTCATTTAAATGTTAGTAACCCTATTAAAATTAAATTTTAACTGGCAACCTTTATTCATTAAGAAAAATCAAAAGACTAATGTTCATAGTTGAGGGGGTAATCAAAATAATAATAAAGACTTGTTAGGCGAAAATTTCCAATTTAATTGAGAGAAACCCGCAAATTATTAAACCAATATTGTTTGTCTTGCCATTTAATATATTTTGAGATTGAGACTACCAAAATCTTCAAAAAATTTGAATATATGGATATAAAAATGATATTTTAAGGAGTTGTTTACAACCGAAAAGAACTTTGACTTCTTGAAACCTTTATTGTAAATAAATCACTTATATTTTTGCTTCACATTTTAAATATTTAGAGAATCTATCAGGAAGATAGTTCAAAACTTCATCCTTCATATTAACTAAAGGTTCTTCGAAAAATCCACATCCTTAGTAGCATTAGCGGTGGGGAAGCCATCATAAATATGTTTCGCTAACTTTAACTTCTCTCCTGCTTAATAATTAAGCTCTAGTTATTTGAAACTCTCAATGTCCTTTAAGCTATTTAACAATGTATAAATCTTGAAATTTATTTATAATAGCTATGCTGGGTAGAAAAGATCGAACCATTCTACAGCTTAAATTAGATTAAACAATGTAATGGTTGGTTGGATATTATTAAATCAACGAAATTCTCCATCGATACTACCATTGAGGAATCCTTTCCCATGTTTTGCCACCATAGTTTAATTCCTTTATATTCTTTGTCTGTCACTTTTATCGTTTAAATCCTATAGTATATTAGGATATTTATTAATCCAAATGCATTTAATTCCCTGTAACTTCATTCTCTCTATCTCCTTTTTGAGCATTAAGTAATTAAGATATTTCTAATTTGCTTGAGGAAAAACTCATCCCTCTCTTTTTAGTCTTCTTCATTTTATTTTATTGGTTATATAAAGAAATAATTATTAGTTTTTTTACGATATTGACTTCACATGGTTTAATGTTGATTTTGTTTTAGAGTATGTAATCCAAATTATAAGAGTATTTTCTTTTATCAATATTTCCTTTTCCATCTCAGATTTTTCTATCTTATTTAATATTTCCCTCGATTTAATATATCTTTGATCAAATTTGATCATAAGTTAAATTATGGCGGATTAATTAATTTTCTAGTACGAATTAAAATTTTCAATATAGAGTTAAAAATTTAATGTTTGAGTGATGGTAAAATGACAGATCATTTATATATATGTTGATAAGATCTGCAGAGATGTATAGAAATATATTTATCATCAAGAGAAAATGTTCTAACTCATATAGAAATTTGATTTGTTATGTGCTAAATATTTTAGGATCACATTTAAATCCATATATACCTTAGAATAAGATATAGTATAAAACGGACTTTCATAAGGATCACCAGTATCATATTTATTTAAAAAAATATTTAGATGAATTTTTAAAGACTCTTGTTAAATAATCTAAGTATTTAGGAATAGTAGTAAATCCCTTGGTAAAAAAATCATGTGTAATTCAAGACATTAAAAACAGTGCTGAATACAAACATTTCACAGTTACCAAAAGAATTTATGAAAAGGCTGCTATTGTTTTTAATTTACATTTAACCATAGTTTACTTTTAGTTTAATACCCTGTGTTATTTAACACAACAAAAACTATTATTAATGAGAATGCTTACTAAACAATAATCAGAATGCTTTTAAAAAAGGTATTATGAAATTCTATAAAATATGTGTAAAGAAAAGAATAAATCAGGTCTTCTAAAACTAGAAAAAAGAGGATTAGAATACCAAAAATATTGCAGATTTACTAACAATAAAAAGGACAGTTAATGAGAGCTTAATTTAGAAATATTTCAATATCACCTAAATACTTATATTAAATATTTAAACTATTCTGGGCGTATTGTAAAAACAATTATGAAGTAAGAATATTTAAGAAATCTTTGAGCAGATAATTTTGGATTCGAAGAACTACAAAATCAGAGCGAGTATGAAAAGTATACTGTTTTATTTGTGTGTATTATTCCCAGAAATTGTGTAAAAATAATAATAAGCATTAAAATATGTATGGAACTACATCATCTTTTCATAGTAAGTTAGTAAGTTGCTCCACTTCATATTCATGAGAAAATGCTTATTTTCTAAAATTATTTTTCTCTTTAATAAATTGTTTTGATGTATGCATATTAGTATGCTCCTAAATAATAAAAGTTAGATATTATAGATTTCTGATTAGATCACATCAATCAATAGGCATTAAGAATAATATTAGCGATCAAAATTCTATTGACAATAAAAATTATGAAGATATCTTTGTGATAAATATTGATTAAAATGATAAAAAAATAAATAATATATAAAAAGCCTAATTTTTGAGAGTGATTTTATCAAATTCCAAGCTAATAAAAAAGGCAATCAAATTGGAAGTTATAGACACTGAAGGATGTGATCATTGTCAACAACAGCTTCATAGTCAGTCTTTGCTGAAAAATTTAATATATTTTAATATTTCACATATCGAAATTAGATATAAAGAGGAATGCCATAGATTTCAGAGTTTAATATATTCTCAAAAAGCATAATTTTCATTTATGTTTCTAAATTAAAAGTTTAGTAATATTAGATCGAAGAAGGACCTAAATTCAGCAAATCCATATCAAAGCATGAAAGATATTAGGCATATATCCGAAGTATTTATGTTTAATCACACTAGGATTGATTACAAAATCTCTCAAACTCCTTGAATTTTCATATCCAGATAGTATTAATAAAGTTTAAATATTTTTATCTTCAATAATGTGATTTTTTTGGCAAATTTATTAATAGTAACGAATCAATAATATATATTATATTCACTTTTCATTTCTTTAGACATTTAAAATGATTTAATAATTTAAGTCTTCTAAAACTCCTACAAAATTATCTGAGATGCTTTAATTGTGCAAACTTCTAAAACTCCCCTGATTGAAATAATTTTTAATTGCTTATTCTGTACAAGTTGTTTTAAGAAACAGACAACTTAATGATGATCGGTACACAAATACCTTAGGAATAGAACAATATGTTATGATCCAGGAAGTATTAATAGATGAAGTAAATCTAATTCTTTTGAAATATATTAGCATTTAAGAGAAAACCTGAATAAATATTATATTCAAGGGATATTCAAAATTTGACTGTAGAACACTGAAAAAATCAATTATGTAAGCTTAATTCTTAGGTAATCTAAATTTGAAAAAAATTCTTTGGTCTATATATTTCTGGAACTAGAATAGCTCTATTTAATTTTTTTAAAACTATAAAGAAATTATTTAAAGAAATATACAATGTCATACTCAAGGCAACTCTATGTTGGCTCTTTTGGATAAATATGTCAAAAATAAACGTATTTATAAATCTTGAACCTATTTTAAGCATTTCAAAAAAGGATCAAACTTGTGTAAGATTCTAAATTCATACAATCTCATATTAATTATATATTAACGTAGTGAATTATATTTGTATTTTATGGATTGTTCACATGTTTCGATAAAACAAGAAAATAAAAAGGAAAGTTAAATACAGAATATGTTTGTTTAAAGATTAAGCATTTAAAATATATGAATTAAGATCATAACTTTGATAGTTTTAACCTTACTAATGCAGTGGACAAATAATAAGATCAAAATGTAATTACCCTTATTTTAATTTTCAAGCAGCATTATGTTTTTGGTTAATGGAAATAACTTGGTCTTAGCATTCAATTGCTTCTTAATTTCGATTTAAATTCATTAAAACTCTAAAACTAGATAAATAGTCGTTAATACCAAGCCTCAATAATAATATCTAAATGCTAATTATTCTTATTATATCAAACAGCATCTATCTTTGGATTAATGGAAATAGCTTGGTCGTTGCATTCAATTGCTAGAAACAAAAAGTATCATTTATGTTTTATATAAATCTTTGATAAGTCGAATAAATTTAGTCAGCTAGCTATATAAAGGGGGATACTAACTATCTTTTTAATTTTTATGCTACATTTAAGAAATAAACATGAATCTAGTGATGCTATTTATTAGTTATAGTATGTGTCAGTAAGAGAATAAATATAACTTAAAGATGCTTAAATTACATTGAATTTAAGAAAAAGCAGCTTAAACGAATAGGATTAATTTGATCAATATATTTGTAAAATAAATTTATATAGAAAAACAAGAATAACTGAGTAAATAAAAATTGCTTTATATATAAATTTAAATTGTAAATTTATGATATATGGAATAATACAAGCGTTGAATTAAACCAGATTATTGATGATTATCAAAATTAAGAAAAGTGAATTTGAAATGTAATCACTATTAAGAATGCAATCAAAAAACGTCATATCTCTAAATTTACATCATATTAGTATTTTGAACTACCTATTGAATTTTGCATACTAAATTATTAGAATATACACATAAAATATCTTTGAAATATCAATTACTGAAAATAATAATTTAATAATATTCAAAACAACACAAAAAATTGAGACAGTATTAAAAAAACAACCTTGCATTAAATCAATCAAATAAAGCATAATTTCATACCATTTTCAAAAATTATTTTGCTACAAATACTTATTTTCAAATTCTTGTATTTTAACTTCACAAATTCTAATCACATTTCACATCAATAAGTAAAATAAATTGAACCAAAATTTACATTCATTTTATTTCAATTTTAATAACGAGATTCAATCTCTATTTTATCAAAATATATTTACTCCTCATTGTTATATATTTAATTTTTCAATCTTGAAAACTTCACATATTTCATGATAGGGCAAGCAACAAGTCAGCCAAAACAATTGTGTTTTATCTCTCTTAGTTTAGGGAAGTAGACCAAAAAAATTTGATATTTGCATCTTATTCAAAGTTATTCTCTCAATAGATTAGGTTAGATTTAATTGAGTTTTGTTCTTTATTCCTGAATTTTACTCCAAAAATATAAAAAGAGAAAAATTATGAGTTAGTGACCATTATAATTCTTGAAAATAATTAATTGATGTTATGGTAATTGAATCATTAATCCAATCGATTATGGTATTTATGCATTAACTTAAAATACATGCCACGCAGAGTTGTCTATTCTAATTTTCATCTACAAATAAATTCGAAAATTTGACTGACCCCTAAATATATTATAGTGTATAAATTCATTCTAAAGTATTAGAAATTCAATATTATATTTAATAAAAATGACTCAAAGAAAGAAAGGTGACTTTATTGAGGTTTTATAATGCATTGAAGATATAGATGTGAAAATCTACAATGTAATAATTGAAATGCACTTAAAGGAAGGAGATTCAGATTTTCTAAAATTTCTTTCAAATTATTAATATAAACTTAGTTATGAAAAATACATGTTTTTATGTGACAATTTATGGCATTTTGATAAGTATTGGAAATTAGATGCCGTTAAAAGTAACATTAAGAAAATTACAAATGTTCTCCAAATAATAAAGGAAAATGAATTTAATGAAAAGAATTACTCAATAGATGAGAATTAAGAAATTAAGGAAGATCTGATTAAAAAAATCTCATCAAATAAGAACATTATAGAATTTTTAACCTTTTTAGTTCATCTGACTGCTTTAGACGAGAGTTTCATAAAGTGTGGATCAAATTCTCTTCATTTATTAGTTTTAATGAAAGTTGATTTGAGGGAATAATCTTTTTAGAATATTAGAATTAAAAATACTTCCTTAATAGGAGCAAACTTAGTAAGGAGTGATTTAAGTGAATCTGAATTTGAAAATGTCGTTATTAGCGGAATGAATATGAATTAAGCTAAATTATTTAATTGTAAATGGAAAAATTTAAGAATAAATGAATTAAATTAGTTAAATAGTCATATAAGTTATGTTAATACAGTTTGCTTTTCTTTAGATGGCAACTCATTAGCCTCTTGCAGTGATGATTAATCTCTATGTATGTGGAATGTAAAAACAGGAAAAATAAATTCTATAATCAAAGGAAAATGGGATGTAATGTCAGCATGCTTCTCATCCAATAACAATATATTAGTTTTCAGCAGCAGAGAATTTATGTATTTATTGAATCTAAAAACAGGAAAATAAATATCAAAATTATATGGTCATTCAGAGAGAGTTAATTCAATTTGTATCTCTTCTGATGGTACGACATTAGCATCTGGTAGCTATGACAAGTCTATCCGTTTATGGGATGTTAAGACACGGTAATAAAAAGCCAAATTAGATGGTCATGAAAAAAAAATTCGATCAGTCAATTTCTCGCCTGATGGTTCTACATTAGCATCTGGTAGTGATGATAACTCTATCCGTTTATGGGATGTTAAGACAGGATAATAAAAAGTCAAATTAGATGGTCATTCAGATAATATTAAATCAATTTGTTACTCTCCTGATGGTACTATATTAGCATCTGGTAGTTCAGATAAGACGATTCGTTTATGGGATGTTAAGACAGGATAATAAAAAGCCAGATTAGATGGTCATTCATCAACTGTATAGTCAGTCAATTTCTCTCCTGATGGTTCTACATTAGCATCTGGTCATGATGAAAACTCCATCCTTTTATGGGATGTTGAGACAGGATAATAAAAAGTCAAATTAGATGGTCATTCAGATTCAGTTAGATCAGTCAATTTCTCACCTGATGGCACTACATTAGCATCTGGTAGTTCAGATTAGTCTATCCGTTTATGGGATTTTAATACAAGATAATAAAAAGCCAAATTAGATTGTCATTCATCAATAATATGGTCAGTCAATTTCTCTCCTGATGGAAATACATTAGCATCTGGTAGTTCAGATAAGACGATCCGTTTATGGGATGTTAAGACAGGATAATAAAAAGCCAAACTAGATGGTCATGAAAATGAAATTATATCAGTCAATTTTTCTCCTGATGGTTCTACATTAGCATCAGGTAGCGTAGATAACTCAATCCGTTTATGGGATGTTAATACAAGATATTAAAAAGCCAAATTAGATTGTTATTAATCAATAGTATGGTCAGTCAATTTCTCTCCTGATGGAAACACATTAGCGTCTGGTAGTTCAGATAAGTCGATCCTTTTATGGGATGTTAAGACAGGAGAATAAAAAGCCAAACTAGATGGTCATTCATCAACTGTATAGTCAGTCAATTTCTCTCCTGATGGTGCTACATTAGCATCTGGTAGTTCAGATAACTCTATCCTTTTATGGGATGTTAAGACAGGATAATAAAAAGCCAAATTAGATGGTCATTCCTTAGGTGTAGAGTCAGTCAATTTCTCTCCTGATGGTGCTACATTGGCATCTGGTAGTTCAGATAACTCTATTCGTTTATGGGACGTTAAGACAGGATAATAAAAAGCCAAATTAGATGGTCATTCACGTAATGTTATATCAGTCTTTTTCTCTCCTGATGGTATTATATTAGCATCTGGTAGTTCAGATAACTCTATCCGTTTATGGGATGTTAAGACAGGACAACAAAAGGCCAAATTAAATGGTCATTCATCAACTGTATGGTCAGTCAATTTCTCTCCTGATGGTGCTACATTAGCATCTGGTAGTTGGGATAATTCTATCCGTTTATGGGATGTTAAGACAGTATAATAAAACCTATCTTCAGATCATTGTTACAAAGATATGTTATCGTTATTGAAACCTTCGAAAAATTAAAATACAGTTCATTCAGAAAGTAGTATTTTTTTTTTCTCTATTCTAGCAACCTCTAATATTACAATTTTAGTAATTTCTAAAAATCCTATTTTGGAAGCATAAGGAGCTTTAATCTTGAAAGGAGAATTTTTCAATTATTAGGGCAAGGATCTAAAATCGTTATTCAAATCTAAAGGTAGTTTGATATTAGAAAACTAAAAAGAATTGATATAAAATTGATTATTTCTAAGTACAAAACATTCTAGGTATTTAGAAATGTTAATTATTTGGAAGCAAATTTCCTTGCTCTCAAATTATTTTCGTTTTTATAATTTTTATTAAGTATCTATTGGATATAAACTCATATAATTTTATTTGGAAAAGATCTATAAATAAGAGAATAAATCTAACTCGAAGACACTCTTATAAATATCTGCTTGTTAATCTAAATTCCACTTTATATTTGAAAATTGCAATACTACTTATTTTCTACAGTTTGTACTTTCAATGTTCATCTATTAAAACTTGCTCATTCTAATTTTTAAATTTAATTAATTAATCTAATCAATTAATAAATTTGAAAATAAATGTATGATATGACAGCAAACATGTTTTGGAAATTTTTTTATAATTCAATGAATTTATTAGAATCTTAATAAGAAAATTTATGAAAACATGTAATATATTTGAAATTAGAAATTCATGATAAATTATTTATTAATTATTATTGTTGTTTAATGATTTATCCTATTTCTATTTTTCTAAAGGAAAAAAGTGTGATTAGAGTACTAATTGTTAAATATGATATTTAGGAGTGGCAATATCAATTCTTTTTATTGACCTACTGTTTAGCAGATTTGAATCAAAATTAAGTAACAATTGAATGCCACCATAAAGGGTTATTCTTATTAATGCTAAAGTTGAATTCTGTTTGATTTAAAAAGGATAATTTATTGTTAATTCTTAAAATTTAGAAAATGCATTATTAATTCATCAAAAAAATGGTAACTAAACTCAAGCAATCTCAAGAAGTAATTAAATGTAATAATGAAACTATTTCTATTAATCCTAAATCTGATACTAATGAATGAAAACGGTAAATTATTTTTAAATAGTAAAAAATAGGATTTACTTTAGGCAATATGAATAAATATCATGAAGCTATTAAATGTTTCAATAAAGCCATTTCTATTAACCATAAAATGGTGCTGCTTGAAGTAAAAGGGTAATCTTTTAGTTAAATATTTATATTTAGATTTGTCTTATCAATTCATTCATATTTATATCGTTGTAAACAATTTGAAACAATATCAAAAAAGATTAAATGTTTAGAACAAGCAATATCTAAAATCCAAAGATGATTATGCATTAGCATAGAAAGGTAATTTATTTTTATTCACATATTATTGAATTATATGAATGCACTCTCAAATATTGAACGAGCCCTTAAATAAAATTAATGTTTTTAGATTTAAATTAAGAGTAATTTAATCTGTAATTTATTTTATCTAATCTATTATTAAATGTAGAATAATATTTGACTTTGGTTGAATTAGCGAGAAATCTTAAACTAAATAATTTATAGTCTGCATAAGAATTTAGATTGGTCAGAATGCTTATCTGCCAAAATAACTTTCAAAATTAAGAGCATCCTCCAATTAGTATTTTGAATTATATTATATACTTTTTTATCAAGATATTAAAAAAAAATCAATTTAAATAATTTTTCTAGGCTCTTTATGTATGAATATTTTTCAATTTCATCAAAAAAAAGTGATGAAATTTAATTAATCTCTATCATGCTCTATATTTTTAAGTATATTCACTTAGGAGCCCAGACCAAAGGGTGAAATTGATCTAGTTAACTTGACAATTAAGAAGGGTTGGTAATCAACATAAAGAAAAATTGCTGTAAGTTCTTCAATATATTTGGCACAAGAATTAGATAAAAGTTAAGCATTGTTTATATAATTGCAGTAAAACATAAGCAAGATTCACTAACATAATCAAATATATTAGGCAAGCCGATGGAATATTGTTCAATTAGCCACACAAGATAGTATCAAAAGTACAAAACTTATACAATACATTATGATCATCTCATATAAGGATGATCAAGGAAAAACTTATAAGATGCGCAGTTAGTGCTTAGTACAGTTTGTAGTAATTATGATGCCTTCCTTTCTCAAAGTTTAACATCAGAAAATCTANTAGCAGATTTGAATCAAAATTAAGTAACAATTGAATGCCACCATAAAGGGTTATTCTTATTAATGCTAAAGTTGAATTCTGTTTGATTTAAAAAGGATAATTTATTGTTAATTCTTAAAATTTAGAAAATGCATTATTAATTCATCAAAAAAATGGTAACTAAACTCAAGCAATCTCAAGAAGTAATTAAATGTAATAATGAAACTATTTCTATTAATCCTAAATCTGATACTAATGAATGAAAACGGTAAATTATTTTTAAATAGTAAAAAATAGGATTTACTTTAGGCAATATGAATAAATATCATGAAGCTATTAAATGTTTCAATAAAGCCATTTCTATTAACCATAAAATGGTGCTGCTTGAAGTAAAAGGGTAATCTTTTAGTTAAATATTTATATTTAGATTTGTCTTATCAATTCATTCATATTTATATCGTTGTAAACAATTTGAAACAATATCAAAAAAGATTAAATGTTTAGAACAAGCAATATCTAAAATCCAAAGATGATTATGCATTAGCATAGAAAGGTAATTTATTTTTATTCACATATTATTGAATTATATGAATGCACTCTCAAATATTGAACGAGCCCTTAAATAAAATTAATGTTTTTAGATTTAAATTAAGAGTAATTTAATCTGTAATTTATTTTATCTAATCTATTATTAAATGTAGAATAATATTTGACTTTGGTTGAATTAGCGAGAAATCTTAAACTAAATAATTTATAGTCTGCATAAGAATTTAGATTGGTCAGAATGCTTATCTGCCAAAATAACTTTCAAAATTAAGAGCATCCTCCAATTAGTATTTTGAATTATATTATATACTTTTTTATCAAGATATTAAAAAAAAATCAATTTAAATAATTTTTCTAGGCTCTTTATGTATGAATATTTTTCAATTTCATCAAAAAAAAGTGATGAAATTTAATTAATCTCTATCATGCTCTATATTTTTAAGTATATTCACTTAGGAGCCCAGACCAAAGGGTGAAATTGATCTAGTTAACTTGACAATTAAGAAGGGTTGGTAATCAACATAAAGAAAAATTGCTGTAAGTTCTTCAATATATTTGGCACAAGAATTAGATAAAAGTTAAGCATTGTTTATATAATTGCAGTAAAACATAAGCAAGATTCACTAACATAATCAAATATATTAGGCAAGCCGATGGAATATTGTTCAATTAGCCACACAAGATAGTATCAAAAGTACAAAACTTATACAATACATTATGATCATCTCATATAAGGATGATCAAGGAAAAACTTATAAGATGCGCAGTTAGTGCTTAGTACAGTTTGTAGTAATTATGATGCCTTCCTTTCTCAAAGTTTAACATCAGAAAATCTAAAGTTGTACAAGCAAAAAAATTAAGCTTTAATCTGCTATGGATTGAAATCTAACGCGAAAATATACATACGATACTGTATATTTCAATTGATAGCATTATGCTTGATAAGTATTTAAACAGAAAAAAATTGTTGAAGATTAGTAAGAGCCTCATCAAATTTAAGCAACTTGTATCTCAAGTCAAGATTTTCAAATTTGTCACTATGATGGATGATTTGAAAGACCAGACAGCACCGCAATTTGTTGTAACACTTTGATCGCATGAAATATAGCACTTGATCGACTGAAGATGGAAGGCATAATTTGCATTTACGATCAATTTTGAACAGAGATCTAACTTGGACTCCAACCAGCTCCTGTTCTCTGATGTTTGGTTGTCTGTAGTCAAACTTGCTGGTCGCCATATTTAGCAATTTGTGCATTTCAAATTTTTTATTCAAAATTGCAAAACCTACGATGATGTATTTAAACTATGTATACATCTGTGTACCATCCTAACAATTGTAAAGGTAAACATCAAGGCCTAATAAAACTTCACTAGGATTTGAATTTAAAGTTTAATAAGTATTTGTGCATACAGTGAAAAATGTGTAATTTAAAATGCTTAATAATGTTATATTTTCCACCCTCTAAATACAAAAGTTCAGATTTGGTCGTATGAAATTATCCAAAATTCAGATATAAATTAGCCAAACAAATCCTATAAAAAAGAGTTCTGGAAATATGCTGTAGTAAAATGGGCAAATACAGAAAACTTGTGAATCTTGTACATGCTACTAAGTAGAAGTAATTTTAATAGACAGTCACTTCTTTAGAGTTGTAGTTATTTAAGGATAGTATCGAATAATAGATGATTGGCTTATATCAGAAAAGCAAAAGTAGATTTATTTGGTTTGAAAGTAGAATATATTTTTGAATGTGGCCTAACATTAAGAATGATTTGGACTTTATCATCAGCACTATATTTATGCATAAAACCTATCAACATTAAAAAATAGTTAAGATTAAATTAGGTAGCTCTCATATTTAGCTATTTGTGTATATGATCATGAGGAGTTACCTATAAGAAATAATATTAAGCATGATAATTGTATTCTTCCACTAATTTGCTCATTGTTGTGTTACAAGCCTCTCTAAGATAATTTTCAAGTGTCAATATTAATTAATTTTTAATAGTTGAAGAGTATTTAGGCAAAAGGTATGCTATTCCATCAAGTGTAATACTTGGTACAATAATTAATTATTTAAAAACCTTTTTCTGAATCTGACTACCTATAAGGATAGTGCCTTATTATTAAAGGATAATGCCGCAGCTATGTAAATAAAATATGGTTCTATATTTACTCTATATATGAACACCCTTTAAGGAAATCCTTAGCTGATGATAAGGAATATAGTTTGTAATTTATATAATTAATCTTAATCATTAGAGTTTTCAAATGAATTGATATAGATCCTTTTATGTCAATCTCTATCCCAAGGTATTTATAATTATGTACAATAGGTAGTTGACATATAGAGTCAATTTTAACTATTCTTTAATTGGCATAATTCCACTCTTCCTGTTGTTTATCTAAAGGTTCCAACTTATGGAAAGCCTCTTCAATTTAGATATTAGAAAGCCAAAATTATGATGCTCTGTCAATAATATTAAATCGTCAACATACCCTAATAATTTAAATGAATTTCCAGAAGCCTTCAGCAGTTCTTTAATAAACTCATCCAAATATATATTGAACAGGGCTGATGAAATTGGAGAGCTTTATGGAACACCATTTTTGAATTGAATTTTATTATTTATGTTGTAAGCATTTACATAAATGATTCTGTTGTGAATAGCGGCCAAATAGTCTACTTCTAAATCAGAAGGGATTTTCTACTCCAATAGTATACCATATAATCTACGCCTATCGATAGTGTTATAAGCACTTGTGAATTCAATTAATAACAGGCATAAATTATTGCTGAGAGTGGTTTATTTAATTCAGCTTAATATTGAGAATATATTTAATTTGGTGCCTAATCCTGATATGAAACCAGTTTAAGGCTTGAGTATTTTAACTTTAAGGTAACCCTGTAGTTGATTGTGAAAGTGAAGTTCAAGAAAACTTTAACAAGGTGTACATTATAACGAATGGCCTGAATTAAGTTTTGATGGGTATTTCTGGGTGACATTTATATAATGGACATAATCTTACCCACCCTAACCTCTTATTAACAGCAAAAGTTTTTGAATTCCATATATCACTAATTATTTACCGATTACAATGTATAACAAATTGATGAGTAATACCATCATAAGATATGGCCTTATCATATGCCATTTTTTTTTGCATCGCCTCTATGGCTTCTTGACTCAGGCTTGATAAATGTGGGATTGGCTTCAGATTATATTATTAAATATGAGATAATTCATTTAATATCTAGGTGCAGTTTATGAATATTTCTTTCCCCGTACATAATTGCTATGTTTAATTGAAAAAACAGATAAAAATTCCATCGTCTCTTGTAATTAATGCAAAATTACAGTTTTTTTAATACTTAAAAATTCTGGCTAATATCATACATGTAATTTTTAAACTATTCAAGGTAATTTGATAATATCATAAAAGATAGAGAATGATTAAATTTGCCCATTTTACGAGTTTAATTGGCAATATTTTATAGCTCTCTGCTTTGAGATAGTCATATACACATTCCCTTTTGATTTTCTAATTGGTTTTTATCGACTTAGAGCTGCAATGATAAGATAGAATGATCAAATGAATCTATCTATATTTAATTTGAAGAGCAATTGATTTCTTTCAATATTAAAATGTGATCAGTTGTAGATGACAGTATTCTCTTTTTTTTTTATCCTCTTCTAAAAGTGATCATATCTATGCACACATCAATTATGAAGTCGATTCCGAGATTCTCACAATTAAAATCACCACATATGATTAACTATTGATTCAATGATAATTAACTCAGAATTTACTTCATTCCAGAAATAATTTTTACTTTTTTAAACTCGCTTTGTTTGTGGATGTAAATAATAATCAAGATTAAATTGATTATAAGATTTATTATGTGTCTTATAGTATATCTAGATAAACTAATGCTTATTCAGCTTTCTTGAAGTAAAATGAACATTTATCTCTGCTTTGGAATTGCTTATGTACTCCAGTAATTATACCTCCAGAGTTTGTAGTATCCCTCTTGCTGTAGTAATATTTGTATTTAATAGAGTCTTATATGCTCTAAATCCTCACTTCTTAGAGAAAAACCGGATGTGCTGCTTGCCATTTTATTTCCTCATAAGCTCCTTGTTTTAATGATCCAAAAATTCCAACCAATTACTTTAATTAAATTTTTCATCAAATTCTCATCTTGTGTAATGGGGATTTCAATTTAGCTACATTACGTGTAAAATTTTTGTGATATTTATTCTTAGATGGTGCTTTTCATCATGCTTAAGGTGTATGTGATATCTGTATGATTAGGCACTTCTCACAATAAATACCTACATCTTCTGGTGTTAATTCTTATTGATTTTTAGTGGCTTTTACCTCTTTATTTTTCATGATTTAGCCATCCTTAAATATTTGGTGAAAACAGTTTTTATTTTTTGAATTAAATCACCTTCATTCTAATATTGCTTTCTTATAGGTTATAATATATTTATTTTGATCTCTTTTTAAGGTTTTGTTTTGAGATTTTGTTTGGGAGTCTAAGTATTATGAGTTACATAAGATTTCTTCTTAATTGTCTAATATTTATATCTTATATGGAACAGTTTTATGACTTTTTATTCATTTTTTCCGTGTTAACTTTTTTATCTTGTTCTTTATTATTATCATTTAGCTGAGCCTGTCTGAGCTCCTCCTCTGGATATTCTGCTGCAATATTGCGATGAATAACATCCTTTAGTTCCTTTGTGGTCGCTTGAAGTTGATTAGCTATAATGTCATATAAATTAGTGAATGCTTTTGATTGTAGCTCTACTGCTATTTTAGATTGGTTAGGTTATTTTTTTACGATATTTGATGTAAGGTTTCAATTTTCCCTTATAGATCTGTTATTTGCTTAAGCAATTTATCAAATTACAAGGTCAGCAGATTAATTAATTATACGAAATTATGAGTAGTATCAATTAGCATACCTCTCGTTAGTTAGTCAGCAACTTCTTTAGCAGTAAATTAAATTTTGTAAATGCTGCTATGAATGTTTAAGCGTTCGGTAAGAAATTTTTATTTTAAGCCATAATTATAATATTTCTTAAAATTGAAGTATAATTATGTATTTAATTTTTATATTTGATAGTATTCATATTGTTTGTATAGATTTGAAACATTCATCTAATTGTAAGAAATACAATACTTTTTCTATTTTAAGTCCATTAATGATTAGAGTTAATTTCTAAAGCTTTATCATAAAATACTAAAGCCTATTAATATTATTTCTGATCATGTAAGCATTCACCTTTTAATAATATCATAGTATTAACCTTTTATCCTTAATGAATCAAAATGATTTGCATTAATTTTTAGAGATTATTCAATCACTTCCATAGCTTCCTTATACTTTTTCAATTATCTTAAAGAGTTACCTTTTATTAAAAAGTAAATCATACCTTTAGTATATAATGAATTACAATGCTTTGGATTGACTGACAAGGCTTTATTTGCCCAAATTATTGCTTCGCTATATTTATCAAGCATTCTTAAACTATCAGCTAATACAATCAAATTCAATCATACCTTTAGTATATAATGAGAAACAATGCTGTGGATTGATTTGCAAAGCTTTTTCTGCCCAAATGATAGCTTCAGTATATTATTCAAGCATTCTTAAACTATCAGCTAATACATTCAAATTTAACCATACCTTTAGTAAATAATGAATAAAAATCCTTAGGATTGATTTATAAAGCTTTATCTATCCAAAGGATTGCTTCATTATATTAATTAAGTCCCCTTAAACTATCAGCTAATACATTCAAATTCAATCATACCTTTAGTATAGAATGAAATATAATGATTTGAATTTACTTACAAAGCTTTATCTGCCCAAATAATAGCTTCATTATATTAATGAAGCATCTTTAAACTTTCCGCTAACACATAAAAATGTATCATACCTTTAGTAACTAATGATAATTAATGGTTTGAATTAAAATTCAATGCTTAATCAAATATTTCAATAGCCTCCTCATATTTGTCATCCCTATATAATTTGTATCCTAAATCATTAATTAAATTACCTATTTTAAACAATTCTTCTGATTTTTCAATATTTGATTTAGATATTTGATAATAATCTAATGCAAATAAATTTAAATCATTCTTTAATTTCGTTATTTAATCTTAAAATTCCTTTATTAATTCTTATAACAATTTTTCAATAGTTAATTCAAATTATTTGAAATGAATACTTTATGATAAGAAAGAATTAATTTATTCCAAATTTAAATTGTGTAATTATTATTTAGATATCTGATACTCAGATCTAATTCCTCCAATTAATAAAAAGAAGTCATTTTAAATCAAATCCATTTATTTATTGATTCTATTTATCAAATCATCAGATTCTTTTTCAATTCTTGAAATATGTTCAAATAAAAATGGCAACTCTTCTTAATGTTAAAGATGAGTAACATGCTTTCCAATTTTAATACATTCATGACAATATAATCTCTATTCTTTACAAGATTCATCAAAACATACATATTTAACATTCTTAGTATGTTCTGGATTAGGACATTTAACAGTTATATTTTCAAATTAATTCATTATTAATATTAATATAATATCTATTCGAATTTCTATTGAAAACAACCATAATTCAATTTTAATATTCAATTTAATATTATTATATCGAATTAGAATTTCAAACCATTTCAACACTAATCTTAAAACACCTTTTTTGATTATAACAATACAAACTTAAATACTATCTTTCATTGAATCTGCTGAATATTCTCATTCAAAACTCATAAGTAAATAATGTTTGATAATTAAAATAATTGCAATCACATTAAACTATAATTCCATTCATATTATTTATTCCAGAATTATAATTTAAAAATCAAATTTTAGGAATTGATTTGAATTTATTGATATAAATTTTGTATTTCTGACCCTAAAATTATATCAACATTTTAGGTTAGTATAATAAATCATGAAAGTGGTCTATTCCTGAAATGCAAATTCTTCGAATTTAAGAGAATTACTTCTCAGATAATATGGCCTCTTTGAGAGAACAAATTAACACTACAGACCTATAGTCTCGCTATAATATAAATACTAAGTACAGCCTAGTATTCTGCATTTTCAATAGCATCATAAGAGGACATCATCAAATAATTAGCATATGGTCTTTGTTCTTAAAAGCAATTGTTTAGGTTATTTTTAGTTCTTCTCCCTCCTCTAACTTATCTTCCAATCATCAGAATCCTGAGTTGAGTATACAGATTTTCAAGCACAATATTAAAAAAGTGTCAAACAAAAAAGGTTCAAGTAAAGAACCTTAATGCACTTCTTCTATTAAGCATACCTTTTTTTTTTAATAAAAGTGGATTAAACTGTTAATTATAACCATTAAACTGCTTCGAAGAGGAAGATCTCAATTATTCCATTACCCATGTCGTATCAACTATAGAAAAATACATAACAATTAGGGCCAATTAGCTATTTCTTCTAAGCTTACGACTTTCTGGCCATAATTATCAGGTACAGATATGAATTAATTAAAGATGATTTTGATGTCTAGAGATAAACAGAAACTCCATAAGTCGCTCACTAATAATCAACCAAAGAGTAAATAAATATCCATAGAATATAGTAAAGAAGATGTATTTATTTAGTTTTAGACAAAATCGAAAGAATTTAGATATACAAGAATAAAAATAACATATATAAGGGAGTATTGTGAGTAATATAATTTATCAATACAATTATAGCACACTACTAATATATATAGAACTCCTGTTTAAAAACACTTACACCTTACAATTGTATGGTATGTATAGCATTGGAATCATTATTAAGCTACCTACTATTAAACCAACACACTTTAAATCAATATAATTATTATCTCTATAAAATATCAGATCTACTAGAGAACAAAATTTGAATAATAATTAAAGCATAAATTGCATTTTCGCTTTCAATTACTATTAGATTTGAAGTGATTAATGAAAACTAGAAAATATTAACCTTAATTAATTATGTAAAATTGTTTAAAATATTTGATCATAACATTGACCTTCAATTATATTTCTTTACAAAGATATCAATAAATTCTTATTAAGAGAGCTAACCATTACCATTTGGATCACACAAAACTAAAATTTCTTTCCAACTATTTTAATTGCTTCCTCCACTCATTTCTGTAAAATCATCTTTATTTATATAACCATCACCATTCTTAAATTTATTAAATAATTTAATTTATACTGCTTCTTAACATTTAAAGATTTCAGCAGAAAATATTATTG